TGTGATAACCATAGGGGTACATATGTCTTTTTGAATCAGGGATTTTGGAGACCCAGATAATCTTGAGATGAGTAACTGATCACTCAGTTAATGCAACATTCAAGTACAGTATACTAGGAAGTACCCTGAAATGTTACGTGGGATCTTGTTTATCTAACCAGCGTAGGCCTATTGAGAACTACCTGGAGTTAGGAAAGCATGCATGATTACAGAGTGCTTACAAAAGCCTCCATTAGAGTAGATGGCTCTTTAGGAAATGAAATGCCTTTATTTGATATGAGACTCTTACTTATTCTATGTTACAACATGATAACCTTTTGAAAGTCAATCTTCATAAAATTATTGGAGTAAAACTGCTTTTTATGACTTTGTGCCAATGAAAGTTAGTACTGATTCATTCTTCAGAAACCTGTCAGACCTGAATAGTCACCTGTAAGGTGTGGCTATTTCTCAGAACCAAATCCTGGGTCATGAGTGGGTGTATTGATCCTGTCAGATGTTACCATAAGGAACTCTGGTGCCTTCTCAGAGGTGTTTGTGCACTGTACTGGGCTAAATAAATGGCTTTGGAACACTTAGAACATTTTCACTTTGCTATTCAGATGAATTAATAAGTAGCATTTGAAGGCCTGGATGTGAGGTATGGCTCCAAATGCAAGGGGATTACAAGTAAATGAGCTGTGCCTACTTTGAAAGAACTCACTGTAAGAACTCACTGTCTAGAAGATGAAAGACAGGGATGTGCCCACAAAGAACACATGTCAGGTGTCTCAGGAGAAGTATGAAGAATGTACTTTGGTAGAACAGAAGGGTAGATGTCGTTTATACAGTGCGACTTTCTTACTCGACGCTTCAGCTTTCCCTCTGTCTCTGCCCTTAAAGGCCTCTTGATAAAGCTCATTATAAAGAGTCTGCATTTGACCCAGGTTTAGAATTAGTTAAGTATTTATGTTAGAAATAGCATGTGGAAGTGATTAATTCTTCCCAGAAGGCTTCATGGTAGAAGTGGCATTTGTAGCAATTCTTAAAATATTAGAGTATTAAATGCAATTTATTAATTACTGTAAAACAATTTGACTGCAGTTTAATTTACAGAAGTAATAGAAACTATACTTTTTACAAGTGCATAAAAACACCAGTTGTATCTTGGCGCACTGATTTCCCCAAGCACTGGCTGAAATACTTTAGTGATAGAGGATTCTCAGGGGAGGAATTCAGGGTGAAGCACTGTGGGCAGGGAAGCCAGCGGGCGTGAAGGCATGAAGGCCTACAGGGTGTGGGGGGCGGGGGGTGCTGGGGCCGTGACAGCTCTGCGTGATGGGGAGCAGGGCAGGAGCACCCTGGGCACTGTGCTGAGCCCACATGGACCACAGGGCAAATAGCTGGGCGGGGCTGTCCTGTCTGCCAAAAGGGCAAACTGGACAGAGGGCAAGGGTGGAGCTGGAAGCTGATCTGCCGGTACAAAGGGGGTGAGGACATGGGCTTTGTTCAGGGCATTTGGAATGGGAAAAAGATGTTTCAGAGACAGAACCAGAAAGGCATGGTGTGGCTGACCTGCAGGGGGCTCTGGGCGGGGGGAGGGCAGAGTGGGAGGGGCGTGGGCCAGCGGCAGAAGAGGGCACGAGTAGGTGTGGGGACTTTACTGTCAGGGCTCAGGAGGCCTTGGGATCCCACGTCCCTTGTCTGTCTGTCTGTCTCTGTCCCTGGACCCCTCACACTCCACCGGGCGTTACTGTCCCTTGCATGTGACAGCTTTCAAGAAGGCAGACAACATCTTGAAGATGGGGAAAAAAATATTGCCTAGAATTTAAAGTGAAAAGTATTTGAGGAGCTAAAGGCGGGAGTGGAAAAATGCTTCCTAGAATTTAAAATGCCTTACACTATCAAAAGAAATGATCCATTATCCTGAAGTGTGCACTTGATTGAGTGTACTTACAGAAGCATTTGGAGAATTCTAAAACACTAAAGAAAAAAAAAGGAAAGTAGAGGAAGGTTGGTGGAATAATGTGGTACATGAACACAATACTATGCTTTAGAAAGAAACTGCCAAAGAAATGTTTGTATGAGGTAATAATAATGTGCCCTCCCAAGCTCTTAGAATTATGAGACAAACAAATCTACTAGCTGGGTAGGAGACAAATATTATCATCATGCTTTAAGACCCAGCTGCACACCCTATAGACAATTTTGCCCCTTTATACCAATACAGAGACACATTCCTCAAAAACAGGTTCAAAACTGGGTAAGAAGAAATGACCCAATAATTAATTAACTAAATAGAAGACTGAGGTAAACAAAGGAAGAGTTATTTTATCAAAAGACAAGAAACATGATTAAATGAAGCTTCAAAAGACCCACAAGGAACTCGTAAAAGGCATAATATGCATTTACCTGGTTTTTATTCTTTCATGATTTAATTTCTAATTTTATTCACTACCATCTGATAATTTCATGAAACACTTATTCTAACCATGGGCAATTTAAACTATTTTAATTTTTATTTCAAGGCCTTGAGACAAAGGAACCTATTTGTTGCCTAAGGGAGTTTTTTTTTTAACAAAAAATTAAAGCTTAATCTTTCATGTTTTAGAGCACAGACTGTTTAAAGTCATTTATAATAATGCTCTAGGGAGACTGTTCCTGGGTATGCAAAATTGAAATGATAAATTTACAATTATTAAGCAAAATTAATAGTTTGGGGGTATTGGATTGTTCCTTCCCTTTGTAGATGGATTTGTCTGAAGCAGAAGAGCCAGGGTGAGCCAGGGCCTAGCTGGGCACTGCCGTGTGTCTTCAGCGTGCTTCACGGTTTGACTGGACTTGATGATGATAGTAAGCCCTGTTTTTTATTATTTAAAAATTAATAATGGCATTGGCTGTGGGAACTGCTTTCTATTCCTTTATTTCATAGGAAGTTGCTCTGATGACATGGAGGGTCATGAATTTTACTAACTATGCTTTGTGACTTTGAAAAGTCCCTGATGGAAATTAGACAAATAATTTACTTACACTTAAATAGCAGATTTTTTAGTTATACTTAAGAAAAATAATTGAGATGTAGATTTAAATTGTTTCTGCTGCTGCACTTCAGGATTCTAATGAAATACATTCAGCCATTATGCAAAGCATCCCTCATTGGAGAAGAGAAAAATCACTTCCTGTGGTACCTCCATTATTAGCAGAACATGTGAAGGTCAGGATGCTGCTTCAGAACAAAGGGGAGGATGCTGCTGGTAGCGGGAGAAAGGAAGCAGCTCAGCACACACTTCCTCTTTCTCTAAGGTATCAGGGAAAACCTGAATGTGGCCAAATCTATTTAAAGTTCCTCAAATTCTTAGGCCATCTTCCTCAGTTGTTTGAGTACCTGGCATTTTAAAAAGGTCACGACATACTGGTGCTGGTGGCCGTCCAGGGCAGATGGGTGGGGGTTGCGGGCAGACCGCACTGCTTTGCACCTGGCTTTCCTGCTGGGGTGTCACTGCCACCCTCCTGCCTGGCTTGGCCGCACACTGCTGTGGCCCTGCCGAGGCCCCGTCACCCCTCTGGCTCCCTGCCTCACCCCCTCTGGCCTCTCTTCACAGCATTTGCCTGTCACATGAGGGACACACGCTGATTTCATGTCCTCCCAGTTCCTGTCCTAGATGGGGAGACTCCTGAGAGCAGGGAGCATGTCTGTCCTGTTCAAGCCTATGTCCCCAGCCTGGAGACGGCCACATGGTAAGTTTTATCCATCAGTTAGGTTGTCCACCTGATCAGCTCACGCCCTCACTGTCACTTAGCTTCTTAAACTGACAAGTCCCCTTTTAAAGGAGAGTGAAAGGTTTGACTTCTAATTCTGATGCCCTGGAACCAAGGAACATTCCAACCCAGGTCTCACAATGGATGAATGCATTTTAATAAAAAATAGTCACATGAAGCTTCAACAAGCAAACAGACCACATGCCTTTAACCAAGTGTTCATTTACAATAACAGTCTGCATTTGGAAGGGCAAAATAAATTTGATGCAACTGCAATATTAAATATTTTTGAAGACATTTTAGAGAATGAAGTCAGTGCTCCTATGTACTGTTGTTATGAGATTATTACACATTAAGGATAAATCCCCTGGCTTCTCCTAAATATCTCTTCAATTTCTCCCTCCAAAGTATCCAGAGGGAAATATATTAGATACCCAAATGTTTCATAAACAAACCAAGGCTACTTTTGAGCAGCCACAGGCTTCACTGCTCCCTGAAGTCAGACACCCTAAGAAAGTTGGGGTGTAGTGTGCTGATGCTTTCATTTTGCACTTTTCTGAAAGAAGATCCCCCACTATTACAGGAACATTTTTTCCAACACTTAGCCAATCTTTGGGCAATAGCTGATAGAGGGTGATGGAATTTTTAGTTAGAAAGGGGCTTGGAGACTGTCCAGGCCAAGTCCTCCATGCACCAGAGGAGGAGGTGAGGTCATCTATCAAGGTCTAGAAAATTCAGAAGGAAGACAAGCCAGCAAAACATCTTTTAAAAAACAAATCATGGTATCTAAGCAACCACATTATGTCTGGCATGAATGAAAAGAAAAAATGGCATCTGCTTTTGAATAAGGCAACAAAATTTCTGAGGAAAAAGACTTTAAATCACACAGTCCAGAACACGACCGCCAACTAAAAAAGTTGGTCCTCTCCAGACCAGGCATTTTAAAACCAAGCGTGAAGGGTGGAGCTGGTATCACATCCAGCACTGGAATAATTATGGATTTTAAGATTTCACAGAAAATTCTTAAATTGTGAAGGAAAAAGAGAATAAAAGCATGAGTAAGGGACAGACAGGTTTTTCATAATGGTGAAAACAACAAAACCTTTTCTCACTTTATCCTTGGAAAATACAAACACACATATTCAAACTTTACGTCTCTTTGCAAAAAGAGTGAAGTTCATACCCGTGCCCAGTACAAGTTCCCTGGCTCTGTGTGATAGCACCCCTTGCCCTTGGCCCCGGGCGCATGCCATCCCCCTTACCGGGACTTGTGAGGGCTCCCAGGGCACTGCTCGTGGTGGACAGAGGGTTTGCATTTGTTGTGGTGGCTGAGGTCTGGGCTGCGGCTGCAGCCGCAGCCAGAGTTGCCAGATTCTGCAACTGAAGAGCATTCATGCCTGTGGAGGGAAGAGAAACGCAACTTTAGCAACAGGCCCACTTGGCCAGGCTCCAACTTAGAGAGGGCAGAGGCCCCAGGCACTAGGCCCTGTGATGGCAGACCCGGCCCCAGCTGTCTCAGCGATTCATGTGCCACCCCGCTTCTTGGCAGAGTCACCTCGCTGTGTTGCTGTGTGCTCTCACCCCACATGCGCTTCCCACACGTCTCCTCTTGGGGCTGGAGAGGTCATCAGAAAAGGTAAGAGGGATTTCTGCGTGGACTGGCCACAGCAGGGCTCCCACCATGGAGGTCTGGGCACGGACCCTCTGGAGGAAGGGCCTCAGGGCAAACTGACTTCTAACTGTGCCAGCTGCACAGGAGGCACTACAGACGGAGTGACTTCACTGGCCGAGGCCTCCTGCTCTGATGTTGAGCTGATGGGGCTTCCTGGCTTGGCCATTGTGCCAGCTGGGCACTCTGGGCACATTACTTATCCTCTCCATTTCTTGCTTAGTGAGTGGCGGTGTTAACTGTCCCTTTGCTCATGAGGTTGTAATCAGATTACATAAGATGATGAATGCAAGTTACTTAGCTTAGTGACTAGTAAGATGTAAGTGCCCAATAATTGTCAGTACCTATTGTTACTGCTACCACTACTGAACTTCTCTCTCCAGATGTATTTTAACTGTGTGTGCTCTAAAATGTGTGCATAATAGGAATTCAAATACTATTTGATGAATAAAAGAATAAAAATGTCAGTGGTGTAACATTTTTACTTATATTTGCATTTTCAAGTTATTTGTATTTTAAAGAGGACTGCTGTTCACTACAATGAATCTCAGTTTAGTGAAAAGTAGGGAAAGAACAGCAGAGAGAAATGATGCTTGGCAAGGCCAGGAGGGAGCAGCAGAGATCTGGGGGCGATCTGTGGTGGGGAAGCAGGCGGTGCCTGAGTGGTGCTTGGGCCAGGAGTCTTTGCTGTCTGCTCCCTGCTTCGGTTTCCAGAAGTTCTCTGAAAATCCAGTCTTTCTCCATGATTCACGTCACACTAATGTACATTCAAGAAGAAGAAACAGTGGTTCTCTTCCTATATAAAATTCCTCATATAAGAAGATACTGGAGTTAAGTAGTTAGCTTAATTTTACCTTCTCATGTCTGAAATTCATGTACTTAATCCAGGTGTATTGAGCAAATTTAATCTGCTTTAGAGAGAGGCACCTGTTTACAGCCTCCATATGTTGGGGGAGGGAGTGGAGGGAGGGGCAGGAGAATGTTCTAGCAATACCTGCAAAAACTGCAGATACTGTGTGGCTCAGAGTACAGCTGCTAGGTTCACTTATGCTGCCCCTTTATCCTGGTTGCTTCCACCAGGACTTAACTTCTACTCAGAAAAAGAGTCCCTGATGCCTTTGCAGCAAAACGGCTTCTTATTTTGCTCAAAATGGTACTCTGTATTCCTCCACGGGACACCCAACACCGTTGGCTTAGGGTGAAGGACAAGCACCTGTTTTTCAAAATGTCGTAGTTCCTGGGGATGCTGAGAAGCAGGACACAAGTGTTTGTGGAGCCCTGTGAATTTCTATAAGAAAAGTGCTGACTTTGGCAACCGTGCTTTCTCCATCAAATGCAAGTGAACAGGCCTCCACATGTCCCAGCTGCCGCCTGACCTGGGGCAGTTGCCTTTTCCAGGATCAGCATGGCCCCCAGGGGCGATGATCAGTGTGACTGGCAGGCACATGCTGAGATATGCTGTATGACATCGAGTGTGCCACTTTTCTGTGCTTCTCTCTCATCGCATCCCCTGGCCACTGCCTCCCACATGGTGCGCATGGCATGGGCCCCAGGCTGCTGCCCTCAGTACTGCGGCACCAACAGGAGGCTTTCATCTGGGTGCTCCTCCCCTTCCAGCCAGGGGCAGTGATCTGGGTGGCTAGAAAGGCAAAACGCTGAGATACACTGTATGAAATCCAACATTGTGCCAAGATCAAGATGGCAAAGAGAGTCGGAATACCAGACTTAACTTCTCATCCATCACTTGGGTAAAGGAAAAACCTCAGAATGAAGAAATGATGTACCAAACAGATGCACAATATGCCTACTTGAAACTTAAGATTAAAAAAAAATTATTTCTAAGGAGAAGGGCATGAAAATTTAATTTAATGTTCACCTTAGGTAATTTTGTGTCTTATTGTTCATAGAAATTACCATAAATCTGCATATCAATAAGCGAGAACAGATGTCAGTTGTTACAAGTGCTTGCCAATCAGGTCTGTTAAAAAGTGACAGATGGGTGGTTATGGAACATTCTCATAAGGCCTATTAGCACATTCGCAGGAAGTGTCTGTAGTGCAGGGGCTGGGAGACTGAGCTTTAGGAAGGATGGGATCTTTGTGGGTCCACAATGTACACCTCATGACTCGAGTGTCTCCAAGGCAAGCTTCTGATGTACTTTTTGCAAGTATCTTCCCCGTTTTCCACTTGCTACAGACATTCTAAGACCATCTTCTGTGGGAATGAGCTGCAAATTGATGGAAGAATGGCTGGTTGTTTTAACCAAAATACTGGTGTTTTGCAATGTTATTGTTACTTTTAAAACTTGGACTGGAATTCTGGAAGAGAATTACCACCACCTTTACTGAGTATCAGAAGTGAAGTGAATCAGTTTTTGCATGTTTATCAACAGATAAAACTCTTCTTCATCATAGCTTCATAATCTCTGTAATTCCTTTTATTCCTCATTCAAGAAAAAAAAAATTCCCTGAACAAAAAGCAGCCCAGTCCTGATACATTTGAAATGAGGTCCAGAATGAAGCGAGGCAGTTTTCCTATGACGTCTCTGAATTGCTTCTTTTTGAACAGTTTTGGGGCACTCTCTGCATTGTTTATCCACAGGTTGGATTTGTTTGTGCTTTGTCAAGTTAGACTGCCTGTGTAGGCGAGTCAGGCAGCCCACGTTCATGCAGACAGAACTGCTTCGACCCTCCTGGGGTGCTGCTCTACAAGCTTCCTGGCAGCGGAGAGCTCAGGGGCTCGATACACTTGGAATTCAGACCTGCTACTTACCAGCTTAGCTACTTTGGCCAAGTTTGTTAATTACCTTCTCTAGCCTCAGTTGCATCACTGTAAAAACGGGATGCTGGTGGTCCCCACCTCACACAGTTGTGGTATCTAGGACTTCTGTATCTTGATCCATTCTGTGGCACTCACTGATGTGGCACTTTGGCATGGCAATTTAACCGCTTTGTGTGTCTGTTTTTCCAGTTGTAGCGTGGTAACAAAATGGTGGTTTTGTTCTTGATATGCTGTGAGTGTAAACTCCACGAGTATTCCAAGTAGCTTTTTTAAAAGCAAAACTGGAAAATACCCTAGTTTTTCTAACATGATGCTTTTTTTGAAATGATGACCATTTCAATATTAGAGATGACTGAAAAGCCACTTTTCCCTTATTCCTTTCTCTTCAGGAAAAAAATCCATATTCGTAGCTCAAAATCAGAGCCCAGGTTTCTCAGATTTCAGAAATTTGTGCAATGAATACCACAGTTGGGTGAGAAATGGAGTTTTTACTGGAAGTTTTAAGAGGGGAAAATAAAATCAGTCAACTTGAAGGATGCACAAAAAATGTAGACCTAAAAGCACTCATCTTATAAAGATTTGATCCTAATTTCTTCTGCTTTTATATTCCATATTTAGTAAAGGTCCATTTTATAAAGTCATTGAACACATTTGAAGTTATTTTTAGTTAAAAGGAAAATGTAAGTTTACTTGAAGAAATAAGTATAGTTGATGCCTCATTCTATTTTATTGGCGTAACTACTTAGGAACTTGTCACCTAAACTTTTCTTAGTGTTTCTTTTTTTTTTTTTGGCTTGATTTTCTCTTCAAACAGAAAGTGTTTTACTCCTTCAAATGAGACATTTTAGACTCTGGTGATAAATCTCAATCTCCTGAAGGATAGACCTTTGATTTGAGAGTTGTTTACAACAAGCTATCATTGGCTACAAAAATGATATTACCCCATCTCGGTGATGGTGTTCCAAGCTTGACTACCTGAATTTTTTACATAGAATTTATTATCTGGCACTGTAAGACACGCACACTGCCCCTGAACTCTGCAGGTGACCACTACCCTATGCCACAAACTCAGTCACCTGACAAGCATTTTAACTCAGGTGAGGTTTGCAAGGAATTTCCATATGTTGCTTCTACTCCATGTGCCGTGTGTTATGCGTTCTGCAGCATGTTTGATATTGTGCATGCTATTTCCAAATCCTCAGTACCTCTCCCATGAAGATACTGTCATTCATTTATATGTTTTTGGTGATGTAAGGCTAAAGTCATATTTCTTCACTAAAACACTGGGCCTCTAACTTAGGCTCCACTGGGAATGTATCCAAAACAAATTTGCATTTGATGATTTGTAAATGTATTCACCCATTCACTCAAACATACTCAGGAGCACCTCCTAGAGCACTGAGGACCGAGTTCACCGGCCCAGGCCGTGCCCTCTGGGAGCCCAGCTGACTGGGGAGTGTTCAGAGCCATGGGGGAGGGAGGTCGGGAGACTTTAGAGGTCCATGGAAGAGGGGCATGGGCAGCCCTCCCCCAGGGGCAGGTGGGGAAGCTGCCTCTAGAGAGTTACCTCTGTTACCAATCCTCCAAGTCACATGTTAATACTTATTTAGATGGCTGGCGAAACAAAAGTTAAGCCCTACTTTGGGGAGAAAATGAGAGAGCAGGTGGTCACATAACTTGACTTTATTGGGAATAAAAATATCCCAAAACACAATGCTTTAAATACTCAGGAAAAGGAGACTTGATCATCTATTTGAATGAAGGGCAGCCTGTATGGAACTCGCCAGACAGAGCCTCGACCTCTGCATCCTTGACACTCTAAATATTCAAGGTGTGGGTAGTAATGGACCACTCAGCATTTGATTTTACAGCCTGGAGAGACTCAGTGTGCTGCATTTTGTGTTGAAGGTTCAAGAAAGGGGTATTTTGGAGAGCCCAGAGCACTTGCAGAAGGACTTTAAGTTAGCCACCTGCGCCATGCACCTTCTAAGGTGACCCTCAGAAACCCTAGTTTTTAAATGAGCATACAGAGCATGTCAGTGCTACCATTCTGACCTGTAGTTGGCAAGGTGGAGGAGCACACAGCCTAATGAAAACTGACAGGGCTCTCTGTCCACCTGGGCACGGGCACTGGAGGTAGCCCAGGGACCCAGGGACCTTCTCTGCATTATTCAGCTGTGGTAAGGGGAAAGCCTGGGGCTTCCTCTGAGGACAGACCTTAATTTGGGATCTGGGTGGGTTCACACTATTGGAAGGAAAACAAATCTTGCACTGGCTGAAAATATGACAAATGTTGGCACTTGTTTCAAAGCTTGCAATCTGCAGGTTTTCTCTTTATAAAACCCAGAAAATGCCCGGAATATTTTACTTATGTCTCCCCAATTCCCTTCACAGAACTAAAAGTATATTAACCATTCAATGTGATTCTTAGCTCCAATGCCAGCTTCCCAAACTGTATTCATAAAGGTATGACTGTATGATTTAACTACTTATCATTTTAACATATGTTTTTCCTAATAATCCAAAACCTATATTACAACAGGGCAAGCTGTCAGTGTCAGTAGATTTAAAGCCCAACAAATAATTCAGCAGTATTTTACCTTAGGCTAATATATCCTACCAGACAACAAGGTACCCTTAGCCCAGGAGGCCACACTGGAAGGTTGGGCTAATATCAGAACCCACAGGAGGGGAAACCTATGGATGATCATCAACAGTCTTTCCAGACCTAGTCAAAGTGAAACAAGAAAAATCCCTGAAGGATATGCATTTGGGAAAAAAAAGAAATGAGAAAAAAGGAGTTTTCATAGCAATAAGGAAGTCTGGCTGGCACTCCATACACTCAGGTTTCATTCATTGACTCAGGGTTTCCTTGATTAGAACAAATGGTGCTTGATGCCAATGTGCCAAAACTTGGTTCTTTTCCTTGCCTTCTCTCCCCTACCTTTTGGGAATCAAACAAGGAACAAACTTCCTCACTGTTCCTCAAGGCAGGCTCCTGGCACCTGTGCCCTCATGCATTGTGCCGGCTGCCTTTCCTCCCCCATGCTGGGTTAGGACATCAGCCTGGAGGGTGACATGCTAGGAGTGACCTTTTCCTAATCGTCACACCTCAGTTAGTACTGACACAGCTCATTATAGAAAGCAGTTCTCCATGAGCTGGCTTTCTTATCCAGCCACACTTTGATTTTCTTGAGAACAAAGATTATACTTCCACATGAAAGCTCCTGATGCACAATTCTGTCGACCACGGTACCAAAGCAAGGAAGGCACCCTGTTAATTGTCTGTGGTTATCAAGGGATGCAGACTGTATCAAAGACAGGCTTGCAATCTTGGCTTTCATTATGGAGGTCAGAACATTTTTATTGACAGCTGCTTATTAAAATTTTAGAGGAATGTCAATCATTCTGGCTGCCCTGGATACAGGAATCTTGTTGGGAATTCCCCAATAATCCATCCCATTAAAAAACAACTCTGGACTGGACTCTGCAGAAATTCTCAGCCCTCTCATATTATGACTGTTGGAAATGCCAGACACAGGGGAGCTACTTCCCAGTAACACCTCAGCCAGAAACTGAAGAGGAATGGCAATTACTCTTTGTTCTTCTTTTTCCCTGTTTCTTCTCTTTGCCCTCTGAACCCACCCCAAATTCAGAAAACAGCCTGGTCACAAGGAAAGATACGGCCCAAGACTTACCAGCCATTTGCTGGATGCCGCTGAATGCACCCAGGTTGCTGGAGGAGGTTGCCTGCTGCAGAAGCTGCAAAGGAAGGCAGAAGTATGCTGTCAGGGTGAGGCAGATGAGGACACGGGGACTCCGAACTCAACTGGGGCTCGGCCCAGTCCCTTTCCATTAGGTAGTTGGTTGCTGTGGCCTATTAATGGATTGAAGGTTCCCAGAGCTGGGCTGTAAATCCATATTAATGTCTAATCTCTGTTAAGGAACCCAGGCACTGGGGAAACTCAATAACATTGCTGCCTTAAAACAATCCATTTACTCTTTTTAACAACCAGGTGTTAAATCTATTGAAATCAACATGGCGTGACTAATGCTAGTTCTCTGTAGCCTAGTAGTTACTCATCTCTGCCAACCAAGGTCCATCCTCTCTCTCTTCCATGCCACAGCTCAGTTTCCTTGACCCTTTATGAGAAGCACATGGATTAACTGACTCTTGGGCCAACAGAGAAATCATCACAATAACTACAGATATAAATGTGTCTCTTCACAGATGCACACTTACAGATTTGAGTCGGTGACCAAGATATCAGTCAGCCATGTAAATATGGTCTTCACTGGCAGAAAGAAACATACTCTTTGTCAAGACTTAGTAGTGTCTGGTGTGGTGTACATTGATGTTGCACATTATAAATGTCAGCGTATTTTTAAAAAGAAATGAGCGTATTTATGAAAAGGTCTCTGCATTTTTCCCTAGAGCTTTTAAGAACACGTTTCCCCCCCACGTAGACTAAGTGGGTACCACAACACATAAAGGCCTGTGGTGACGGTCCTAGAGCCGTCCTTTAATTTGTCCATTTCAGCTGAATTACAGGTTAGCAGGTGCTGTACTCAGTGTTTGATGAGATTTATTGATGTTTTCTTTTTGGTAAGGTAAGTGAATAAAAACAAAGTTTGTATGTGAGTGCAAGCATATAGTTATCTCCTATATTCAGATGTATATGGATTCCAAAAAACATAGATTCACCAAATATACTATCGATAAGTTGTTATGATACTATGTGCTTAGGAGAAAAGATATATTTACTACTTAAAAAACAGCTCCCCAAATTTATTTGGCACTCTGCAAAACACAGAATAGAGCACTGTCATTCCTTTGGGCAAGTATGAGACTCTTCAATAAGAAAAGAACTCTATAATTGGATACGACTCAAAAATGGGCATTTATCAATTTACTTATAAGCACCAAGTGGGGTGGAGTATCAGTGGCTGATAAACTTAAGTCTTAGTTACAGTGATGTCACGGGGATGGACACTAACAGTTGCCAGAAAAATGTAGTGTTCATTTGTTCCTCTGGACTTGTTGGACTGACTGCACTACCTAGGTATTTTACACACACACACACACACACACACACACACACAAATGAAGTGAGGAAGGGGGAAGAGAAGCTGGGGATTATACATTTTGATAAAGAGATATCCCCAATTTTGGTTTGATTTCTTGGGGTTCCCATTCTCATGGTTGTAAGTTCTGAATTCCTCTTCCTATTATCTATTAAAAAAAATTAAAGTAAGTTAAGTTAGCTTTGAAGATATTTTGAGGAATCATTAATACTTACTGAGGGAGATGGAAATACCTGAAATGTCATTAAACTATTACCAAGAATTCTTCCCACAGATAACACAGTCATTCTCTGGTGAGCCAGGGTCAGAATCTACTGAACACAGTGGCCTGGAATACCTTTAAGGCAAGAGCCCTTCACAGCAGTGGACTTTGAATTTAAAGGGGTAGAACCAACATTAGCTGAGAAAGAATGGAAGCCCACAGTAGGAAAAAAACATAGTTAAGAGCATAAAAAAGTGTGGTTTTATAAATGAGGCTGAGGTTAATTCTGTTTCAGGGTACAGAAATCATTTGCAGATGTGATCAAAGAAACATGTGCCAGAGATTTCTGTAAGCTGTGGGGCATGGGGGATGTGCCAGAAGATGGGACACATGTGTCTTCGGGTCCAGAAATGGTGGATTGGGAAGCTAGATTCTTAGAAATTATGAAAAGGTGAGCTTCACATCAATCTCTGATAACAAATGCTCATGTATACACAATTAGGCAGATGGTCTATGAACAACTGAAAAGCACAAAGTTGTAAAAAACAAATTACTAAGCTGGGCTCATCTCATTTTTCATAAAATTCTAGACTGACAGACCAAGAAAAAGGGTGGAGCTTATATAGTGTTTAACAAGACATCTGATAAAATGTCTCATGGTCTGTGTGGATGTGATAGAGAAATGGCTGCCTGGGGACAGTAAACTCAGGGCTGCCTGTAAAGACTCAGGTGAAGACAGGAGATGTGTGTTCCTCCTTCGTAAGAGACAGGTACTGAATAGCTGTTACATGGCAGACTGCACTGGGGAAGGGGGTAAAAGAGGAACAGGAGCCATATCTGCACACAGAGGCATAGCAACATGGGGGGCATGCCAAGGGCTGAAATCCTACCCAGCTGCCAGCAGCATGCCCCCGGGCACGCTTACAGAGCCTCCCTGGGCCTCCCTTTCTCCATCTGTACAGTGATCTCACTTTTTAAGGTCACAGTGGGGACTGTTTTTCAAAATAGTACAGGTTCTGTACAAGGTAAGGCTAATGGACCACGTAATCCCGAGGGGCTGTTAAAATGTCAAATGACAGAATTAGGCCCTGGCGTACATGTTCATGTGCACACACACACACACGCATGTGTGCATACACACTGACAGAAACTAGGATACAAAGCCCAAACACACAAGATGAAATTATAATAATACCTGTGAAATCCAGCATTTAAAGTCTCCAAAACAGAGGAATGGCACAGAGCAGCGTGGGTTAGAAGTTCAAGTAAAAATAAATGAACACTTACAGGCGTGTTGGTTGCCTCCATCTTGTGTGTGACGTGGTTAGTACTAATGGCACTCTAAGCTGCATTAAGATATTTTAAAGTCCACACTAGGGGTCACTGCTCTGTGCAGTTCACACCATCTGTGGGGAACTGCCTTTGGTTCTGGTCACTGCATTTGAATGAAGACACTGACAGAGTGAGGGTAGTTTAAAATAAAAACAAGGAAATTGAGAATCAGTGAAATGTAAAGGATAGCTCAGATACTTAGGTTTCTGTGGTCTGAAACCGGGTTGAGGTTTTTAAGTAGAAGAAACATTCGATTTTGTCAGCCTAGCTCCACTGGGAAGACAGGATCACTGGAAAGAAGTTCCAAGAGGATTTCATTTCCAAGCGAATGTGGAGTGGATTAACCCCTGGGTGGTGGACATTTCCAACCCCATCTGCCTCTGTATCATTAAACAGTCATCTATCAAGGGTACTGTGCCCCTTCTAAGGCAGGATATCATCATGTCTCTGAAACACACGGTAGAAATTTAGCCTTGTGGACTTTGCTCAGATTGTATCAGGCAAGAATTAAAGTCGAGTCCCTACACTAATCAATTTGAGAAAATATTCTCCATTAATGTGCATTTCAATAATGTCCTGAGCTTTAGAATGTCCCCCGAATGAATTCTTTAGTGTACTTAGGGGACAGGCAGGTTCTTGGAGTGACAGTGGGTGTCCTTCTGGCCTGGGGACCGCGCTGGTGCTCTGCACTTACCGCCAGGTACTGTGGGGTGAGGCCGCCCAGCCCCGTCAGGTTGCCCCAGGTGGCAGTGTTGAGCTGCTGCATCTGCTGTGCCAGCTGCTGTTGGAGGCGCCTTTGCTCTTTGTCCTTCTGGGTGTCAGCGAACTTCACCACGATGGGTGAAGAGCAGCCCTGTGGTCAGACACAGCGGAAAGTGGAGAGGGAGTTACAGCCTGTCAGACCCTCTCATGACCCTCATTCAGAATGGCATTTAGCTTTCTTAACTATCTTGTAGCACATGGAATGGTCTGGAATGGTTTTACAATGGTTTGATAGTCCTTCTTCGTCTCTGAATAGCACCATCCACAGAAAATTCCAGCTACTGTCATTGGTTTCTTTGGGGATCTGGTGGTCGGTGAAGCCGTTTGCTTTCTTGCTCTGCTTAGTAAACTGCCTCTCCTTCTCTCTTCATGTGTCTTCCTTCAACCTTCCCAGGACCTCCTCAGAGACAAGAGACCTTATCAATGCTCTTTAATCAAGCTTCATGGTTAGTGTGTCTGAAAGGCAGTCTTGCCTCTGTGTGTCTGCCTGTCTCCACATGTAAGCAGGGGATAGAGATGGGGATTAGCAGTAAGGGGATGAAAATGTCTCTCATTTATTTATTTTTTCACTCTTTCCAACGATCAGTTATACATTTTGGAACTTTGAGATTGTGGGAATCCTAATGACCCGACAGGGAGAAGGGGGCTTTGTTTTAGGAAGGTGGATGAAGGAAGGGGCTATTTAGAGGACAAAGGCATCGACCAGTGCAAAGCTCACATGCGTTCAGAGAGGCCTCTCTTCCTTCTGTGCGGCCTCTACTCTGCCCGCAACCCCAGAACTACTGCAACCCCATCAGAAGCATAAGCTGGTCAAGGGCGATGCATCCTATATGGCAAGAGGAGATTACTTGGCTTCTTTTCCTATTGAATCTCACCATTTTCCCAGCTTTCTTCCATTGTCATTTCCTTTAAAAGGCAGGGGTGGTGAGTGAGCAGTGGCCTAGGGTTATGTTATGTTTGAGAGAGAGAAAGTCCTCGGGGGACATGAGGCCCTGACACCTCAAGTAGGAAGCTCCCTTCCAGAGCCCCTGGAAACCCTGGCCCCCCAGGCGGGCCTCAGCAGAGTCCCCTGTCCCCTCCCTCCCCCCTCATTCTCCTTTTGGTGTGCCTTCCTATGCATTTCATCACAATCAAAGCTGTTAAATATTGCTGAGGTAAAAGGTAATTCTATCCAAGTGATTAAAAAAAACAAACTGTTACTGGAACTCGGTGTGTTTACAGACTGCTTTCTCCCCTCAGAAATTTTATCTTCTTATTTTCCCTACCCTTTGGGTCATGTTTCTTTCTCTACTAGAAAACAACCTTGCATTTTTTTCCTTATCACCTTGGGTAGTTTTGGGATGTGGCTAAGAATACATGAGGCTTTTGTGTCTGTTATTACCCAAAACACATGAGGGAAATGAGACGGCTGTTCCATGTTGACTTCAGCATGTCTACGGGTCTTCAGCTCGGGAGCCACAGTCACAGGACAGAATGTCTAGTGTCAGTCAATTGCATAAAAATAATATTTCCACCATTAAAAAATCTACACTTCATTTTTCTTCTTCTGCTCCATATTTCAGCACTTCATCTCTTTAAAGAGAGCAAAATACTCTGAAGATGGAAATTATACAGAGAAAGGGTTTTGCATGGAAAAGGGCTGTTACTGTTGCATCAAATTTGTTCCATAACAAATCAGAGCATCTCCTCCTAACAGTACATTTACTGTTGTTTTTTTCTTCCTTAAATACCAAAAAATGACATAAAAGCAGAAAATTAGGCCAATGGATTATAGCTCAGAAATAACTTGTTTAAATCACGACAGGGAAAAAGGGGATGGGGACAGATTGAAGGAATAGAAAGTACACTATAAAAATGAATTATTTTAAAGAATGTGCTCTCTTGAACTTCAACATTCACATCATTTTGAATTCTAATCTCTTAGATAATACATCTTGGTTAAAGATGTGAGCCAGAGTCCTGAAAATAATATGATTAGTTTAAAAAAACATATACCACACACGAGAAACTTCAGTTGTACCACTATAATGTGACCGCATAGTATATAGTCTTCCATTTGAATGACAATAGATTTGAACAAGAAATTTAAGTGTTTGAGGGCCCCTTTGTTGAGGCGTGGACGTCTAGATTTAAACACAAGTGCACCAAATTTGAATTTTCAGGAGAGATATTAATAAGAAAGGATCAGGGATATCCTAAGAATAAACATGCCTCCTCTCTCTAGCAGGTTCTTGTCCTGCTGAAAGCCTAGTATTCCTTGGTCCAGGTTCATACCCAGGCTGGCTCCATGTCCTCGCACTCTCCCCCCGCAGAAACAGGAGAGCGCAGACCCCACACCAGCACTCTGTGGCTCTACTGGGGGGCCCTGAGGGAAGGAATTGGGAGGCAGTGTTTCTAACAGATCTCAAAGAATTCAGGGTAAAACATTCAGGGTAAGGTGAGAACAATTTAGGTACCGATCACTAAATCACAGGAAATAAAAATAGCTAAAAATGAAACACATATATCAAAGATAATAAATACAGGCAAAGATTTTTTGGGTTAACATTTCTCCCACTTTAATCTCCAAACTGAAATGTGACTGGAAATCAGACTGACCCACAGTATTGGAGCAGCCTAAGTTAACAGGAAGGGGGACACAGGAGCACTTGTGTAACTGCATGTGGTACAAGACAGGACCCTAGATATGTCAAATCTTCCTAATTATCTCCTAGCATGGCCGATTTTCACCTGAGCTTGCCTTCAGGTAAAGGGGGTGTGTCTTAAAAATGCATTGCACTGAAAGGAAAACACAGTGATTATATTAAAGATATGTTAGGAATATCAAAGTCAAAATGAAGTTTGAGAAAGACAATAGACTTTGCAATGCTGATATCAAAACTCAGAGAAGTACAGTAAACACTTAGTGACAATGCCATGCACACCCCTTTCCACCCACCTTGGCTCACTATGAAAAAGTTGCCCACAAAACTGGACATGTAATGATTGCTTAGCTCCCAGCATGCTTTGGGAGATGCAGCATTGCAAAAAAAACAAAACAAACAAACAAAAAATAAAACCCCCAAAAATGGAGGCAAAAAAGCTCAATCAGTAAAGAAATATTTGCACATTAAATAAAATTGAAAATATTTTGTGTTTCAAAAAGTTGAAAACATAATTTCAGATAACACCAAGAGGCCACCTCCAGAAAAGATTACCCATACATAAAGATACAGTATACATAATACAGCAGAACATGCACTCCCAAATGATTCTATCAGACAATACAGGATAAGTAACAGCATATCACTCTTGGAATGCTTTTGTGCAAAATTCTGAAAGGCCATGACCCAAATCACAGACTAAATGTGCAGAGCCATCTATCTACATTTATGGGTGAACACCCACACCAGCATATTTATCTTCCCCTAAAGCCACTATCTCTCATTAGGAGAACAAATTTGAGCCTTTATGTTTCTTTTATTGTTCATTTTTTAGTAAGGAGACAAATCTAATTTTTCAGGGGACTCCCATATATTAACATTTGCACTGGGTAAATGAAGTGGGAGAACTATTAACTTTCTCCAACATTTTTGATGCAAAAACAATTCCATTAGGCTAGATTAAAGATAACTTGATCCCACATTTAAAAAAAAAGAATCCTGTGATTTAGCACAGGACAAGCTGAAGTTTGGAGTGGGGGCAGTTTACGCCCCCTCCATACCAGCCCTGGGTAGGGGAGCAAGCACCCTTGGTCCCTTCAGTAGAGGACGGTTCTTGTCTGTAATTGCATCGTGACTTTACATTGCATGACCTGGGCCACTGCAATAAAAGGCTCAAAAAATAATGTAGAGCAAGTGGAAGGTTTTACTAAATACATTTCCAGTCATTAGGGGAAAAATTCAGAGACAGAGAGAGAAAAAGAGAGGGAGGGGGAGAGAGGGAGAGAGAGAATGAATATGAATGAATGAAGAGGTGGTGAAAGAGTAAGTCTGTGATTGTCATGTGAACAGTCCGCACAGGAGAGAGCTGCTTTACCATTCCCCATCATTTGCACAAAGAAAACAAAGAAAGGGCAGATGATACAGTACCTCCATGGTCTGAGACTGATGCATGGCTTTGATTGCATTCTGTGCCATTGCCCTTGTAGAAAATGTGACAAACGCACAGCCTGTGGGAAACAAGGGGACAGGGAGCAGGAAAGACAAAAAACAACAAGACAAAAGGGTTGGACGCTTGTTAAACCAACACAGTCTACGAGAACCGCCACAAGACGACACTGTTCTCAGTAGTACAGAAGAGTCAACAACTTCGCTCTCTGGTTTTATCTTATTTTGCTTTTGACGCACAGTGCTGACTTGCTAATCTGACCAAAGCAGAAAGATTTATCGATTGATTAGTTTATTTTTTTAAATGGAGAGAAGGGGAAGTTGAGTACATTTTTTTTAGCCATGGGGGTTTGAAATTAGCAAGATCTAGTTTGCATTTTCTAAAATAAAAAGTTGCTATTTACATTTTTTCCTTGGCTGGTTATCTTTACTTAGGGCATCCATACATTTAGGGCTTTACATTTTGAATTTTTGCATTTCTAAGTAGCACATAAAATCCTCACAACAAGGGCAAATTAATTGTAGGAGTTTGAAATGTCAGCAAATAAATATATTTACTTGGGGGGGGGTCTAAAATATATATCTGTAAATATACATTGAAACTATACAAATGCAAACAAATATACCATTATTCTATACAAACTATGTAGTAATTATCAATTATGAACAAAAACAAATGCCCTACCACTCTGAGAACATTCAACAGTGCATATAAAGTGAAATTTAAAGATTTGCATTGGATTCCTTATTTGTATAAAATCTTCATGACTTAGGATATCTATCATAGAGTGGACCTAAAGTCTGACATACACAAGACAATGTACATTTCTCTGAATGTCTCCTGTGAGACCCATCAAACTTTCTGTGGCGATTTTTTTCTTGCGCTAGACCCTACAGTGACTATTCTGGCTTCTTGTGGCAGTGTTGCCACCATGCGGGTCACCGCTCCAAATACACAGCTCATTGCCCTTTTCACTAATAAAAACACTGCTTTCTGAAATTTACATTTTATTCATCATGCACCCTTGGGCTTCTCAGAGAAAAAGGCTGTGAAATTAATGCAGATTCAGGCTGATTTTATAATAATACCACAGCACACTAAAAGCTTAGCTAAAGCAATTCAGACTTATTTCACTTATGATCTCTAATGACTTTAAAAGTGCATTGATTTTCAGCTTCTTTAGCCTTGCACAGTTTGAACTTAGGTATCAGAGAATAATTCAGTGTTCCACTCAATTTCCTCAAAACATTATTATTACTACTTAAAAGATTTCCAAATGAAGCAGATCTAAACACTGAGAGGCTGCAGCCTGTTGTCATCTCAGAGTGAACACATAAAAGCAGAATTCTGGCATCAACAATGTGAGGTTTTTGTCCCTGTGGCCAGTAAGCCAAATGGAACGTCCTACATCCAAACAAGCAGCACATTGTTTGGTTTATGTAAATTGAGTTATGAGCCATAAAAGATACTTTCTTCTTTTGCTCTGAATGTGTACCTGGTGAGATTATCAAGTCAATACTGTAATGGCACCTTTTAATCAAACAGCAGTAAGAGAAAGAAACGCCTGCCCATCACCCCCAAAGCACAACACATCCAATCATGAAAATAAGTCAATGCATTTTTTTTTCATCAGGCTATAATTTTTAATACAAAAAAACTCTCAGTACATGGGAGATTCGTCTTACATTCACTTCTCAGTTAAGTTGGCCTTACGGGCTTTGCAGTCTAGCTCACTACAAATGTGGGCCTGTTCTGTCGAGTTCTCTTGACATCCCAGCAGCTAGTGAAGCTCACTGGTAATCACGCTGACTGTACCTGTACTGGCTGTAGCTTTTGTCTATATCAATAAAGGCAATTTGGCGGCCTTCTCTAAGGCATCTCACAATGGGTATAAGAGAGTGGGGGCAGAAGCCAGTACCTCTGCTGCTTCTGTACTGATACTCAGTTCTACAATGATAGTGTCCCGAAGTTACCAGCTATTTCAAAGTAATTTCTCTTCAAAGACACTGTGATTAGCACCAACATTATTAACAGAGGAAATAACATTAAGAGATTTTTTCTTCCATTTCTTGAGACTACAATGGAGGCAAAAGTAAATAATCAAATGGTAATATATGTGAAACCATGCAAAGCCTGGACTAACTCTGCTTTTAAACATCAAGATTGTTTCATTCACTCCATTTGCTATTATTAGCCAGGAATATGTGCCAACTGACAGTTTCCAAATGGAGGTTAAGAATGCATAAAAAACAAGTAAAATGTCAACAAAAATCAATAAGGCACACTTTATGCATTTACCACAATTTCAGAACAAGCAGAACTTTTGTAAATAACTTAGTGAGAAATATACAACAATTAACAGGTCTCAAAAGAAAAGTATTAGCAATAGAACAATAAAATGATCTCTCTATAAACTCGAACCATTGCCCTTCCCTCTTTGGAAGCTGCAATTAAAACTTGACTCATGAATCTAATTTACACAATCCTCCTCACATCCAAAAAATAGATCTGACAAATCTGTTGACTTCTTTAACCTTTCTACTCTATTGGCGGTGGTGCAGCAAGACAGAACTTGTCTCTTTAGGGGCTCTGTCAAGTTCTGTACTGTGTGCTGTGTTCAATTACTTAAGAAAGAAAATTACTGTCATTTATGAAGTAAGAGTGCATGTTGAAAAATTTCGCTCTGTGCCACTCTGAAGTTAAGCAACCTCAGAACCAAATGTTTCATGGATTGGTAGCTTGTTAACCTTTGCAATTTCTGTAAAACAAGAGGTCATGGTAGTCCTATGGCTAGATTTTAATTTTCTTTTTGACACCACTGAAAACTTCATGGTGGATTTTGGATTGGACCACAAACCTGTTTTCACCAATACAGGGTCACCTAAGTCCTTCTGGAGGTTGGCTGCCAAATTCTTTTACAAGCCCACCAGACGACTTCTCATTGGACAGAAATAACCTAGGTCAACTGTCTCCCTCTTTTACTAAAAGTGAGCTTCTGAGAGCAGTGGGGTTCACGGGGTCTTGACATGACAACCACTCTGACTTTGGAGGGTCAGCCCTTCACTGTTCTAGACTGCTGTATGTGCTGTCTCAGCAGTCAGTTCTCTGGCCACCGACCAACATGCAGGATGAAGTCTGCTGGGGGAAAAAGATACAGGTACCAAAAAATGAAGCTCTCTTTTTTGGAGGGAATTGGGGAGGGTTAGGTAAGACAGCCTTAAGGCCTCCAAATACGTAAGAGCAAATAAATAAATAAATAAAATAAAAGCCACCTGTAAATGTGGTCAACCTGTAATTTACCTTGCAATTATTTATCGTCTCTGCTTTCAGAATGTCAGAGATTGCTAAGAGAAATGAAAGAGGTTGAAACCTACTTATTTCAGTTAGGTTGCCCTAAAGCTGATAAGTGACTGACAGAGGAAAAGTTTCTCAAAGTAATTTCCTCCTACACACAGGATCTAAAGAATGCACGTAGCTCTGTCACAGAGAAGATTTTGGAACACATCTATTACACTTGTCATTTCAATTGAAAGGGTATCTTAACTCAGGCGTTCTACCTTTTCTCTCAGCTACGTGAGAATTTTGAGAGAGTTAGATGAATTCTTGCTCTGTACCACCCCTCTACCCCCCTCCAAAACAGGCACTCTCAAAAGCCGGTACAAAGCCAGCAAGGACCTCTTGTTTTTCTGCTGCTGCTTTGCCAGAGGAGCAGCCGTCTGCTACATTTCAAAGGAAGGAAGCATAATTTAAAATAACTTGAGCAGCACAAAAGAACTTTCAACCTACGGAAAACTTGTTTATACATTCCCATTTGGCAGCAGAAAGGTCTAAATGTAGCCCATTTTCCTTGTTGGGTCTTTCTAGCACTGGCAAGGCTTATTAAATGTATGCCATCAGTCTGATATTAGAGCATCACCATTAATACTATAATGAACCATCCTCCAGGACTGGGTTAGTTGATTTAAAATTGCCATGGGCAGATTATTTGTTTATGGCATGTGAGGCTAAGTGCAGACTAGGACTTAACAGAAGGCAGGATCTCACCCTTGAGAAGAGACCCCACACATCTGAATGTTTAGGCACTGTAGGCAAGACTAAAATGTCCTCACCAAAACTGAGTCCTCTCTGTATACATGATTTAAAAGTCAAAGCCCTATCCTAATATCCTGATCAGATATAACAAAAACAAATGAGGAGTTAATGGCTGAATCCAGTCTGTGCTCGCCAACATCCCTGAAAATATTGCCAATTCATTGTCAAGGGTTTTGGCAGAATGTTGGAACACCATAAACACAGCTGGGATATTCTTAAACAAGCGTAAAGTTACCTTAAATGGCAGTGAAGGTATGACTGCAAGTTCATGGAAAGAAAAATGAAATAAATTCCTTCATTGTCTCTGAGTTACAGATACTCAGTTCTCAGGTGGAGAACCCTACAGCCTGGACCCAGATCGTCCACTCTGACTGTGGGACTATGGGTAAGTAAGAACCTGTGTATCTTAGGGAAGCATCATGCCAAGGTGATCCTGAGAAATACTGCATTGGCTTAGAAGCCTCAAGCTTGGATTCTGACAGCAAACGTCTCACGTGACTTGCTATATGAGGGCTTGTGGTATCCTGCCTGCCTTCTCAGAGAAGGCTGATAGAAGTTGCTCTGTGATGGCAGAAGGACCAAGTATCAAAGGCTGGAAAGCATCTCAAACCAGGGTTTCCAAATCAGAAAAGAGGGCAGAATGGGTTGCTACCTCTGAAGGGGGGATGCACGTTTAGATGCATGTGGGCATATGTGCGAAGGAGACGGTCCTGATGGGTGCTGAGTGCTCGGCTTGCTTGGCAGGAGCTAGACCATGTCCAAGGACAATCATGAACTTCCTGGAATGGGGCTCTGCTCTGGATGCTGGAGTAACAATGGGACTTCTGAAGCTGTCTTTCTTGACAGTACATAGATCATGACTTTTTTTTAACTGCAAGTTGAGCAGCTCTTGAAAGGTATGCCATTGTGGGTCCTGACAGCACATGACCGACTCAGGGAGGGCAACTGAGTCAACCAGCCAGGAGAAACTTCATCTTAATGCCTATCAGAGACGACTTTACACACTGATGTGGCAGGGGAGCTGTGACTTAAGACACCTGTGGGGGAGGGGGTACTCTTGCTTCCTTCATCTGTACTCTTAGCTGAATGGGGCAAAAGCAAAAAAAGGAAAGGGAATCACCCATCATTCATCATAGTGAAATGGTGTATTTTTTTATTGACTAGCTTATACCCTGGTTTAGTATTAGCATGTACTTTTTTGAGCAGCCAAGCTTTTATTTCACTGAATTTTTATTTAGTTATTTTTAAGCAGCTGAGCCCATCAACAGGCATTGAGAGCAGAAACACTGAGCATCCTTCATCTGCAGGGCCACTAATGGGAGACACTTACTAATACTTGATTGAAAACTACAATTCTTTAATAAAAGAAAGCCAAACAGTAGCATGAAAGAGAATTGTTCTTTTAACAAATACACTGATTCAGGCGTAGCCCCCTGGATTTGGGGGTCTCTGGGTCTTGCTAATTGAAAAGCCTACCACTGTCTGGCTTTATGATTCAGGACAAATGGTTATAAAGGAGTATTTTCTTTTTTGCCAAAGGGAGTTCTCATCATTTCACCAGAAATTACTTTTCTGTTGGAAAAAAAAAAGGGGGGCAGGGTGGAGTGTCCTACTCCTCAACACTAAGCCAGCAGCTGCATTAAATACGACCAAGAGTGCTCCCCTAACTTGTTCCAGAAAGATGCTGCTTCTGGAGGCGTGTGCTTGGCTCTCCAAACGGCAGATCAAATTAGCCAAGTTCTCTTGCCAAGTACTGCATCCTGCCTTTCCTAGCAAAGTGTTGGCTGCTTCAAAGTCCTGTCAGCAGAAATAACGCACGGGCTCTCAAGAAGCACTAGCGGCTGCAGGCATAGTGCTCCTTGCACTGTCCCCCCACTGGACAGAGGGAGCAGGTGGGAGCGCGTCACTGTATGGTCAGTCCAGTGCAGTGGCGGGGGGCACGTCAAGCATTTCTACTTCAGCCAAGGTCTCTGCCTGACCACACAGATGGTGTGCTTGTCCCAAGACTCCACCACACCTATGAAATGAGCAGGGCAGGTGTCTGACTGCTGCCATTTATGAATGGGGCAACTGAGGGGCAGAGGCAGCCACACAGACTGACTCTGGTGACGGCTCATGTCAGAGTTCCGGGACTGGGCCTTGGAGTCACTAGCCTCTGAGCCATGGCACATTTCTTTATGACTGTGTTCAGGGCCTTTCTTTCTGTACTTTCTGTGGGCTGCCTTGGTGAATGAAAAATGCAATGCTAACTCAGAAGTGGGGCTGAGAGAAAGAGCAGAAGAGGGCAGGGGTTCTAATTACCAAAGTTGCAGAAAAGGGCTGCAAGATATTACCCTGGGTTTCCTCCATATGTTACTCCTCATGTAGCCACTCGCCGCTTCCCATGGTAGTCTCTCTTCGGCTCTGGCTGCCAACCTGGGCAAGTGGGTGTCACGACCGCAGCAGAATCAGACAGTGTGATTCGAGGCTCAGAGGGAGCTAGTGGGGAAATCCTAGTATCCCTCTGCTTGTGAGGTGGTAGAGGAGCAGAGGTTGTGAGGGTCACTAGAGCCATACCTTGAATGCTACTGGTAACAGCACATCAGGGAAGCTGCCCATCAGCCTGAGGCACTGGCTCTGCTCGTCAGGGTTCACACCCAGTGGCGAGTCTTGTTCAGCTTTCGGAAGGGCACATCTTTTGAGGAATGCTCCATCACGGAGCTTCAGAATTGGTGGAGAATGCAGAAACTGATTTCTGTGCCTCCCTCCTTCCCTTTTTAAAACCACCTTGGGAAGAAAACAGGGTGGCAAGCTTGGAGCATTTCTACCTCCTCCTGGTTTGCCTCCAGACTACCTCCACTTGGGGCTCTGGAGGCGGATGTAGGCGGAAGGCTTTGTTCTTTGTGCCTCCCACTCTAGCAGCTGTCATCATGAAGCTTTGTGTCTAAAGTCAAAGAACCAACATGCTTCCTTTACTTGGTGCTGAATTTAGGTAAAGCTAAGGAGATGGGTGGGAATTAGTGCTTTGATACTTCAGACCCAACCTTTCCTTTCAATGTGCAATCTGGGATGGCAGTGTTGCCCTGGAACCGGCCAGTGGGATGACCAGAAGTTTCTAATGAGTCCCAAGGAAATTACACTGAAAATTGCATAAACAGAATGGAATTTTCTTCATGTTGAAACATATGTATTTCTTAGAAGAACTGAAAAATATGTTGTGCATATACATGTTCCCTCTGGCCTCCCTGGACTGAGTCAGGACACTGCCATCAGATAAGTGTTAACATTCGGTGACAATCCTTATAAGTGGTTTAAGGAAGGAGGCAAAAAAAAAAGGGGGGCAGGGTGGAGTGTCCTACTCCTCAACACTAAGCCAGCAGCTGCATTAAATACGACCAAGAGTGCTCCCCTAACTTGTTCCAGAAAGATGCTGCTTCTGGAGGCGTGTGCTTGGCTCTCCAAACGGCAGATCAAATTAGCCAAGTTCTCTTGCCAAGTACTGCATCCTGCCTTTCCTAGCAAAGTGTTGGCTGCTTCAAAGTCCTGTCAGCAGAAATAACGCACGGGCTCTCAAGAAGCACTAGCGGCTGCAGGCATAGTGCTCCTTGCACTGTCCCCCCACTGGACAGAGGGAGCAGGTGGGAGCGCGTCACTGTATGGTCAGTCCAGTGCAGTGGCGGGGGGCACGTCAAGCATTTCTACTTCAGCCAAGGTCTCTGCCTGACCACACAGATGGTGTGCTTGTCCCAAGACTCCACCACACCTATGAAATGAGCAGGGCAGGTGTCTGACTGCTGCCATTTATGAATGGGGCAACTGAGGGGCAGAGGCAGCCACACAGACTGACTCTGGTGACGGCTCATGTCAGAGTTCCGGGACTGGGCCTTGGAGTCACTAGCCTCTGAGCCATGGCACATTTCTTTATGACTGTGTTCAGGGCCTTTCTTTCTGTACTTTCTGTGGGCTGCCTTGGTGAATGAAAAATGCAATGCTAACTCAGAAGTGGGGCTGAGAGAAAGAGCAGAAGAGGGCAGGGGTTCTAATTACCAAAGTTGCAGAAAAGGGCTGCAAGATATTACCCTGGGTTTCCTCCATATGTTACTCCTCATGTAGCCACTCGCCGCTTCCCATGGTAGTCTCTCTTCGGCTCTGGCTGCCAACCTGGGCAAGTGGGTGTCACGACCGCAGCAGAATCAGACAGTGTGATTCGAGGCTCAGAGGGAGCTAGTGGGGAAATCCTAGTATCCCTCTGCTTGTGAGGTGGTAGAGGAGCAGAGGTTGTGAGGGTCACTAGAGCCATACCTTGAATGCTACTGGTAACAGCACATCAGGGAAGCTGCCCATCAGCCTGAGGCACTGGCTCTGCTCGTCAGGGTTCACACCCAGTGGCGAGTCTTGTTCAGCTTTCGGAAGGGCACATCTTTTGAGGAATGCTCCATCACGGAGCTTCAGAATTGGTGGAGAATGCAGAAACTGATTTCTGTGCCTCCCTCCTTCCCTTTTTAAAACCACCTTGGGAAGAAAACAGGGTGGCAAGCTTGGAGCATTTCTACCTCCTCCTGGTTTGCCTCCAGACTACCTCCACTTGGGGCTCTGGAGGCGGATGTAGGCGGAAGGCTTTGTTCTTTGTGCCTCCCACTCTAGCAGCTGTCATCATGAAGCTTTGTGTCTAAAGTCAAAGAACCAACATGCTTCCTTTACTTGGTGCTGAATTTAGGTAAAGCTAAGGAGATGGGTGGGAATTAGTGCTTTGATACTTCAGACCCAACCTTTCCTTTCAATGTGCAATCTGGGATGGCAGTGTTGCCCTGGAACCGGCCAGTGGGATGACCAGAAGTTTCTAATGAGTCCCAAGGAAATTACACTGAAAATTGCATAAACAGAATGGAATTTTCTTCATGTTGAAACATATGTATTTCTTAGAAGAACTGAAAAATATGTTGTGCATATACATGTTCCCTCTGGCCTCCCTGGACTGAGTCAGGACACTGCCATCAGATAAGTGTTAACATTCGGTGACAATCCTTATAAGTGGTTTAAGGAAGGAGGCGTGTGGCACTGTCAAGGGGGAGGCAGATGGAGAGGGAACAGTCATTTCCAGCTGCTTTGGATAGCTCCTTGCAAAAATACTGGTTTTTATCAATGTGCGGAGAAACAGCCTTTGCCTCTTATTGTGGTGACAAAGAGGAGCCTAAAATTGTGTGGATGAAGTCATTTCTGTCACTTAATGGACTTCGTGGGCTCAGGCATCTAGGAGTTTTGTTCTTTGAAATAAAATCCTAATACCCCAAGACGGGCCCAGTTACTATGTGCCCCTGTCTGCTCTGCACTGTGTGGGGACATCGATGTTTTTCTTGGTTTGTATCACTGTCAGGAGCCCCATACCCTTACCATTTCTCTCAGGTACAAGCAGAAAGCCAGAACACTAGGAGGTAAACAACAGAGACTCTCACCCTCCAAGTATCTCTCACACCCCCACCCCAAAAAAGTCTACTCCAGTTTGAGACTGAAAAGGGATGTGTAACAACAGGGTGCCTGTTGGCTTCCCATCTGGCAATGATAACTTGAGCTAATATGTTGGCACCAAGACCTTCTGGACCTGAGAAATAAAAGGAGATCATTCAGCTATGGTGAAAAGTTCAGGCTGGAAAGCGCTGTCACATGGGATGCCTGACAGAGCAACCTCTTGCTCCGTACCATGCGGTGGCTGCATCTACCTCGCCTGTGATACAGAGCTCCGGTTAGCGCTTACGGGCAGAGACATTATAGATGGCGCCCTCACCTCGACTCAGCCCGTCGGGTCCCCGGAGAATCCGGCATTCTTCTATCTGGCCAAATGGAGAAAACATCACCCTGATATCATTCTCATTGCATTTCTTCGAAACCATTCCTATGAACAATTTTCTGTCTTCCACAGCTAGGAGATAAAAATAAGGAATGAGCAAAAGCTATTGTCTTTTTTCTTGTAATCAGTGCTTCATTCCCACACCAAACCAGGTCCTGGTCCCAAGACTGAGCCCTGGTCCGCAGGCTAAGTCTTCAGGCTTCCAGGCAGCCCTCCTCCTCCACACACACCACTTTGCCTCTGCTCTCCCACCTGGCCCTTCCTGAACAGGGCACCTCTCTGGGAGCTGCTGCTTCACAGGGTGCCATCCGCAGGGGACACGGAGCCAGCAAAGTCCTTGTCCCCCTTTGGAAGCTCACAGAGCTGTGTTTACCAATATGTTAAAGTTCTGTGTAATTGCTATACCCTACCATTCCACACAGATTTCTGGATGGAGATTTTAATTTGGGTATTTTTGGAGATGTTCTCTTAAGTTGAGCAACAGGGAAAGACAAAGGCCGGGAGAGGCAAAACAACAGGGAGATGTGGTGCAGGAGGGTACACAACTTAATAAGAAAGCATTCAGTGGGATGGAAGATTCTCCCCACCCAAATTCAAATAGCTTCTTTCACACTGATCCAGACAAGAATGAGAGAGAAGAGAGAGATGCCCGTGTCTCCGGCTGGCTGGAAACGACCTTCTCTCTGCAGCACAGGCTCTCTGGCCCTCACCAGGGCAGCACACAGTCTGTCTGCCAGACCAAAGTGGAAGGCAGTGTGGGGAGGGGAATGGACCTGCGGCTCCTGAGACTCACATCTGGATGGCCCGTGCTCTTGGAGATGCACACAGAAACAAAAGAACGAGGCAGGAACGGCGCTGTTCTACCCACTTGGTGTACGATTCTTGATGAACAGAAATTCATTTTGGGTATCATAACAGGCTAACTGAGCACCGGTCCCCACTCTAACTTGGAAACTGACAGGGGTGAAGATTAGAGAAGGTTTATTTGTGGTGACCTGGAGATTTTCCTCAAAACCTACCAGCCTGTGCTCTGTATAAATGGCTTACATTCAGCCTCAAAGGCACAATTATAACTGATTTCAGGATAGAGTTTGGAGCCTTTTTTAGGAGAGAGGAAAAGACCGTCATAGTAGCCTCTGGGGAGAAGTCTTGCTTATTTCCCATTTCTTCTCAATCCATTTCTTAGAATTATAAAAAAGGATAGCTGGCTGCACCAGTGCTCTGACAGTCCTGCTTAGGGGAAGGACCCTGCCATCCACATCTGTGCAGAGACCTGTGTTTTGTATCTGAATTATAATCTTGTCATTGTTATTTAATTGGCTTTTATACTTTCCCTGGACAGGACAGCTCTCATTTTCATTTAATGGATAAGTATGTATCCTAGACTTTCTAGGGCCAGTTGCTTTTGGAACCCAAGCCAAACTACATGGCCTGTGCCCTCTGGGAGCTGTTTGTGAAGCAGTCCTGCAGCACAGGGTGGTTCTCTCAGAAGTGATGCTGTCCAGGAGAACTCGGCAGGAAGGGAGAAGCTCTGTGATGTCCACTGCTGTTGCTAAGACCACATGTGGCTCCTGAGCTCTTGAAAAGTGGCTAGTGTGACGGAGAAAGTGAATCTTTACTGCTATTTAATTTCAACTAGTTTGAATTTTAAAAGCCACATGTGATTATTGTGTTAGACAGCTAAGCACTCCTAGTCATAGAAACTCCTACTGAAAGTGAGAGATGGGAAAGGGGTTTCATCCGACTCTAACACAGATCCTTAGGGACCGGTGTGGGCGAGGCATTGTCCGAGGTCTTTCAGCAAACAGGAGCCTAACTTGGGCTCTTCTCACTTGACTGGGTTTCCTCCAAGTCCAGAGGAAGCAGAGAAGGCATGGGGAGGGAGCAACTCAGGATTCAGGAGACCGAGGTTCTAGTTCCAACTCTGATGTTAGTGACATGTGACCTTGGAGAATGAGCTGACCTATGTGGACTTCAGTCTTGTCATCTATAAAATGGAGGCTGAATTCTCTTCTCTTTCCTGATTCTCAACAGAGTGAAGGTGTCTCAGCTACAGGCTGGGGGAATGTGGGGGCAATACTGGAGCTCAGAGTCCCACCCTCTCTCCTCACTCATGACAGCTCTGCAGACGAGGCAGAGATGCTAGGCTATAAGGATGAAAATCACAACTCCACAACATTATAAGCTGTAAACTGTGCACAAAAGGGTTTAAGAAAGCTTGAAGGAAGTTGTGAGATGTAAGCCAGCCCTGAAAGCACAGACAGTGTCTAGACAGACTGGTAGCAGGATGGGGGGCACCGTGATAACTGGGTTGGGTACAGAGGAAGGAAACAAGGATACTCTGGGTACATGGAGGGAAGCAGCCTGACTTTAATATAAGGTGGACCATTTTCTGCTGTGCCTGTGGAGAGGGGTTTGAGGTCTAAGAAGAGGAACAGAGGGTCTGAGGCCACCATCCATGCTGAGACTCATTCACATGAGATGCGAGCAATGGGTGTTCCTAGTGTGAGGCAGTGGAGGACCTGCCTACCTCAAGTAGGTGAAAAAAAATTTAGATTTAAGTTCCTTTCTCTCCCATCAGAGAAGGTGAAGTTCTAGTGGTCTGCTGGGCACCGGTGGGAGCTGGTGCGTCTCCAACACCAGGCAGCCCCTGCGAGCTGGACCCCTTCCTGTGGGCTCTATCGTGGGTCTGAGAGGATGCGGCGCTCCCCCAGCGGAAGGAACTCACTGACTTGGGCGGGGGGAAGGCCGACTTCAGCTCTAGTTGTCTGTCTATGCTTTTCCTGTCATCTGGGATCCCCGCCCCAAGGAAACCATGGCAAATCTAGGGCCGTGACAAAGAATTCTTGTTGCAGTTCTTATCCTGAAGAGTTTGGTTTTGGCTCTTTTAAACAAGAGCAAATGATAAATTCCCAGTTGGTCCTTGGTTTCTCTGGCCCACTGGTAATTAGGGCAGTCAGTGCAAACACTTTGCAGGCTTTGAGCTTCAGGGCGATGCTGCAGTAAACTGAGTATGCTGCCCCTGAGTAAGCTAAAGCTGGATTTTTTCCTGAGGTGAAAAACGTAAAGTGGAAACTACTTATAAGGAAATTCTGACTTCCTAGGCATCATGAAGGGTAAACTCAGGCAGGAAGATGGAAGATAACTCTTACTTTTTTCAGTAACAAGTATTAGCTAAGAAAAAAATTTAGAACCTACACCATCCATATGCTACTCAAGATGCAGATTTCCTCGCACGTGCACTCGTGTGTGTGTGTGTGTTGGTGCATATGTGCACATATAAAGGCAGCTGATGTTGGTGAACTTTCGCTAGCTGAAGTAGCTGGGTGGTTTTGTCTATCTCTTTGGATGAGGCCCATCCACACTGGGTAGGGCAATCTGCTTTATTCATCCACTAATTAAAATTTAATCTCATCCAGAAACAACCTCACAGACACCCAGAAGTAGTGATTAACCAAATATCTGGGTACCCCATGACCCAATCAAGTTGACACATAAATTAACCATCATGAACAGTAAATTCTATGTTATGTATATTTTACCACAATAAAAAACAAATCCATGGGTTTAACTTCCAGTTCTGGTCAAAAGGTAGTAACTGGGACCAGATTATCCATCTGCTACCCCCTCCCCGCCACCAAAAAACCCCCAAACCAGACAAATACATGAAACAATGATTTTTCAAGACACCAGACATAAGACAATAAAGGACAGTGATGCCTGAAAGATAGGACTGAGCTGGGTGCTGACGGTGCCACAGCCCATGTGAGGTGAGGTTTCCAGGCTGCAGCCTGGGGAGGGGAGGCGGGGCCCACAGACTGAGCTGAGGAGATGCAGCCTGGGGTCAGGGCGACCAGGGCAGCTAGTTCCTAGGACAGACCACCAGGGGAGAGCTCTGTGCCAGAGAGCTGCCCGGACGCGCCAGAGTGGGGGTGCCCATGGGAGGGACACCTGACCCCGGGAAAGAGCCACTGGGGCTGCATGCTTCACCAGCTGGGGCATGGCTGCTTCCATGGTGGCATGGGGGCACCTGCACAGAACAGCTGTCTTCTCCCTATGCTTTTCCTGCTGGACCAGTGAAAGTTTAGTCATAAAAGTTATTCCTGGGGTTCCCATTCTCAGGATTCCCAAAACACCTTTGTCAGCATTTTAAACAAACATACTTATTTTGAATTCATTTAACGTCTTCATCGACTTTTGATGAATTTCTTGAGGGGTTTTTCTAAGTATTCATAGGTAGTAAGAGTCTCATGTTTTTCAATCCACAAAAATGCCAATTGTTTAAACAAACCTGTGTGCCCATAGTATTCTGCTAAATGCTTTAGGGGAATTAAAAAAAAAAAGAAAAGACAGGGTTGCTGCCCTCTAGAAAATATCTGTGTTCCTTTAGGATAACCAGTGAAGGAGGAGAAACACGTTTTTATACAAAATGTGATACAGATGGGATTACCTCCATCACTTAGAATAATAGAACCAAAAGGTGTTGCATGCCAGCGACTGTTTCAAGTTCTTCCATGGTATGAGAAGGGGTTAATATTATAAATGGGGACTTTTTTAAGTTTGAGGAATAGAACCTTCATTTTTTAAAAATCTCAAATTGTAAGTCTGTGCTAACACCCTGGTCTACAATCTGTCAAAGTCACACCTGGATTTGGGGCAGACTGAATTAATTAACAACTTTTCAATGTGTTAGTGCTAACATATGGCATTTAATTACTGCCTCCAAATACGTGAGTCTTTCCGCTTGAATTTCAAAATTATTCATCTTCCAGTAAAGCAGAAAGTGACTGGCTGGGGATGTGCCATGACCCCTGTCTTTACTGGAGGCCTACAAGTCTGCACCCTACCCTGACAGTAATTAGTCAGCTCGACTCCTGTGAGCCCTGAACTTGACACATGGCCACTCAGGGTTTCGGACACCTTGAGAAAAGAGGGAGTTTAAAGGCATTTCTGGATTTGAGGCCTAGGACCCCAACAAGCTGTGGGGTCACAGGGCTAAAGCAGGCTGGATTTATGCTCTGCCTACAGAGTATATCAGCCCCCTTGACCTGGAGCATGGAGTGAGAGTCAACAGTGGCTCCAGCCACTGAGACCCTGAGTGCAGACCCAGAGCCAACCTCTCTGCTTGTCTCTACTGGACAACTTTAGATCCAGCAACTGCACTGGATTCTCAGTCTTGCACAGCTGGTACGATAGTGATGGAGATTAAAAGTTGGAAAACAGGCCCTCTGATGTAGATAGAATGGAAGCAACTATGTTTGTGCAAGCGTATGCTGGGACCTGAAGTCCACACCTCAAACACCCAGCCTGTGCCATCACTGAACTATATGCAATGGGAAAAATAACAAAAGAATTTAGATTCTGCTGAAATTCAGGTATTTATTCAGTGTGTTCTTCTTAAGGGCCCCAACATTTTACTGCTAATCCAGAGTGGGATTTTTTTTTCTTTTGTGTGACATGTGGCCCAGTAGGAGCCCCTGGGCAAGGGTGTTGTGCTGACTTTGCATGAATGTGCTAGAGGCTGTAGCTTGAATCCAAGCCGGCTGACAGGGTAGGCCACAGGGAGCCGTGCAGATTCCAGAAGCCTGTTCAGTGGAATACTGAAGTGCAGGGCGGATCTTAGAGCAGCCTAACACGTCTGGGCTCACCACAGAAGTTTCCTTTGTCAGAATCTTTAGATAGATTGCTTGCTTCTGAAGAGTGATTGCTTTTCAGGAATTCATTTGCCCATCACTAATTAGTTTGTGATTAGCAGCCCCTTCTTGCTCAGCAAATAGAAAGTTTTAGAACCCTGACCATAGCAACACTGAAGACTGCAGCAGTCTAACACAAGGAGCACTTTGTGCTGCCCATAAATGTCAGCAAGCTCACTAAGAGTGCAGCGAGAGCTTGCTACACTTCTTGCATAACCACAGGAACTATTCAGAGCATCTGAGTCAAAGAAATCTTTGTGCTCTTTGAGCTTTGGAAACTATGCTTACCTGTCAAAACTACCATGTGGAATAAGAAAAGGCTTATGACTTTTATCACTTGCTTTAGAAAATTATACTTTTCTCCCAATTCCTCAGATACAAGGAGAACCTCAAAACTGGTTCATGCCTTTGCCAGGTGAGGCTCATTTGAGCCTCCATAAAGAAGAGCACTATAAAGGAGCTTTCTGTCCATTTATACTTCTTGACATTTTTTACTGGAAATTCAGAAAATGAAGGTCAGTCTACCAAGCAAAGAAGAAATGACCCAACAAGAAGGTTTGGGGGGGGGGGGGCGTTTCTTTCATGTGACCAGATCTGTGCTTTGGTATGAACAGCCCAGCCTCTGCTGCTCAAAATGTACCAAAGGGCTGCTGCAGCTGATCTGCACTGGGCCATAACTCAGCAGAGAGCCTGTCTACCATGTGCCAGGTCTCCTAAGTTTTTTGCAGAAGTCACCTTCTTCACTCCCCAGCCAGCCTTGTAAGGCAGGCGTTACAAGAGGAGTGCAGCTGACTGAGCATGGCTGCCCTCTCTTATAGATGGGCACAGAGGCTGGCGAGGCTGGGGAACCTGCCCAGGGACACGGCCAACAACCGTGGGGTCAGGGGTCAAGTCCGGGCTCCTCAAAATAGTTTTAACTGCTACCCCAAGTTGCTTCCTGAAAAATGGCATTTTAGATATTTTCTCATCTTAGTAATAAAGGGCTTAATCCTGCTTGGCTTTTGAAATTGTGTAAAACGGTATACTGAGGGCACTTTGGCCCTGTTGCTGCGGCTCTGGACCCAAAGCACACATCCCCCTCAGTGTTCAGTGCAGGCCCTGGACAGCAAGGGCAGCCCCCATTCTGAGACATGCCACAGCTAGCCCATGGGGAGGCTCCACCAAGGTGGCTTTGTGCCTGCACAGTGGGAAATGCAAAAGACGACACCCTTTCATGGTTCCACTGTCTGGGTCCTTGGAGTCAAATGTTTCCAACTCAGTTCTCTAATTCACCACAGTTTTCTAACTATGACCTAAGGTTCAGAAATAAGACAAACCCTTCTCTACAGACTTTCATTCTGTGGACCTTGTCCTGACACAGTTTATAGAATTATGGGGCCAAAGGACAGGGAGCACATCTTAGTGGCCAGAAGCTCCAAAATGACCTTCACGGACAGGACCCATCCCTCTTCTCTCTTCTCTCCCACAAGGAACAGAACAGACTGCAGACATGCACTTCTTAGTCAAGAAAGCTCAAGGGATTGGTATAGTATGTGGCTTCTGCATGGGTAAACATGCTCAATGCAGAACCCTGGAAGGCCAGGGAAGAATCTGGCTGATAACAATCACCTATATTTTATAGAAGTGCTCTATCATTTACAAAGCATGGTTACAAATATTTTATATGAGTCTGAAAAGAAAAAAGTCAATGTATACAAGGCAGCTCTGATTATTCCCATTTTATGAAAAGGGGATTAAATTTTGTCTCAGTGACTACTATATGCAGTAGATCAGTAGACTGAATGTAAGTAGTTCCATGAGGGCAAGGCAGTGTCTTTTGTATTATTGCCTTCTTAAAATTCATTGCTGCAGCTCCAGCCCCTAGCAACATGTTGGCACACAGTAAGAAATCAATGACTACTTGCTGATTGCAGGAATCAAGTGACTTGGCCAAGGCCCTCCAACAAAGCAGCAGCAGGTCTTACACCCTCTGACACTGAATGCCACATCTGTGATAAAGCAGCGGAGGGGAGAGAGAATCAACTCTCAGGCTGTGTGGCTGATGAGCAGCTGGTGGACAGAGCACCCAAGGCTACTCCCCGCCAGACAAATAAGTGCCAGCACCACAACAGACTCAGAATTGTCTTCAAAACTTTCTAGTCTGTGAAGGAGCCAGAAAATGGGATGTGGCACAATTAGCAAAAAGTACCTTGTGGAGAGATTTAGAGCCCAATCATAATTTACATTTGCAGATATGCAGATCTCTCAGTGCATGGCTTCTGCCCTGATTACTAATTAATGAGGTGCCAAGCTGCCTGTGGAAGCAAACAGTACTGATTATGTCAGTCTTGTGGGACAGGGACGTCTGAGGTATGAGAAGGTAGAAAATCCCTTTAACACACATTTCACTAAAATTCAAAGAAAAAAACAGGAACAGAAGGCTGTTGAAAATGGAAGCAAAAACTTAAGAGAGAAATGTGGCTATCAACCCTCTTGTGTCTTAGAGAGGCAAATCTCGAATTATTTCATGGACCTCATCAAATGCATATTTTTGCACAGAGCGTACATTTATTTAATCAGCAGAATGAATTCTGAATGAACTGGGATGCAAATGCATCAGGACAACTTAGAGAAGAGTACAGTAAGCCAGTTTCCAGGCCAAAGAGGAAGAAACTGAAGGGAGAAAAAAGCCAGCCTGCTTCTTTGTGAGCAACCCCTCTTCCCCCAGCTTCTCTGTACCGTGGAAGGTCCCGCCTCCCCATCAGGAGTGCTGTGCTGCTCTGCAGGAGGCAGCAAACCAGAGCCTAAGCCACGGGGTCACCACACAGAGCAAGTCCCAAACAGACGGACACGGAAACCACATCTTGTAATATCTCCAAGAGACTCCCAGGCAGCAGAGTGAGGCCTGTGTAACTGGGAGCAGATCGCTCTGCCTTCCCAAGAGAAAGTGACTGGGCCTGGCTGCTCCTTCCCTCCCACTCGCACCTCTTCACTGAAATAAACAGTGTTAGATGAGACAGTTGATCAACACCTACCGTTGGACTTTTCACTGTCTGCAGGTTTCATCTGAATGGGATGATGCATCTAAAAACACAAAAGTGAGAAAGTAAAGGCAGATTGAACAACTGTAGGAACACTCAAAAATCCCAGACTAGTCAACATGAAAGTTACTAAAGCTGTTGTAAGGGCACACACGTAACAATCCCAGCTAAAAGTAACCACATTAAAATGACAGCCTGGGCTTTATGTTCAGGAATAGAATCCTTTTAAGTCATGGGGCACTGTGACACAGCATCTAAAAGCCTGGCCTTTGCAGTCAGACCTGAGTTTGAAACCTGGTTCTGCTATTTAATATAGCTTCTGTCTTTATCTTACAGGTAGTTTGGGTTCTACCACTCGAGATAGCTATGTGATCCTGGGCAAATGTCTTAAATGCTCTGAGCTTCAGTTTTCTCATCTGCAAAATGGAGGTAACACCTGCATAGCAGGGCCTAGAGAATTAAATGAGAAAATGCAAGTGAAGTGCTTAGTTAACAGGGCATAGGATGTGGTAAAAAAATTCGCCTGTTATTATTTTGTATTATTACAAATTTCATTGCAGTCTGTCTGCGTCTCTTCTGGGCATTCTGTCTGCTGAACGGATTTTTTAGGTCTCAGAGTTATGAGTCATTTGAAGGTCTAATGATTGATTGATTTAGGCACCATTATGTAATCTTTGTTAAATATAAAATATGGAAATGGAATGCAGAGCTACTGAAATAATGGAGAGAGTTAGGGAGGGCAGGAGGGAAGCACAGACCTTATGACTGTGTTCGTTTAGCCCATGTGGAGTAGAAAGAACCTGCAAGAAAGTGGTGCCAAGACTCCGGATCACGGCAGAACTGGGGGCCTAAGGCTCATCAAGCAATGCCCATCACACCCCTGTGCCCAATCCACAGAGCTCACTCCAAGCACAGAATGCCGCCCCCTTTTCCAATTAAATTCCTCAAGCTACTTCCAAAGGTCCTCTTACTTCATATTTCATCATACCCCAAGGAACATGGAAGCCACAGGGTAGATAGAATCACTGGCTGTGCAAATGCTTTTATTATAATGGGTCCCAGACTGGGCCTGGCTGCTCCTTCCCTCCCACTCGCACCTCTTCACTGAAATAAACAGTGTTAGATGAGACAGTTGATCAACACCTACCGTTGGACTTTTCACTGTCTGCAGGTTTCATCTGAATGGGATGATGCATCTAAAAACACAAAAGTGAGAAAGTAAAGGCAGATTGAACAACTGTAGGAACACTCAAAAATCCCAGACTAGTCAACATGAAAGTTACTAAAGCTGTTGTAAGGGCACACACGTAACAATCCCAGCTAAAAGTAACCACATTAAAATGACAGCCTGGGCTTTATGTTCAGGAATAGAATCCTTTTAAGTCATGGGGCACTGTGACACAGCATCTAAAAGCCTGGCCTTTGCAGTCAGACCTGAGTTTGAAACCTGGTTCTGCTATTTAATATAGCTTCTGTCTTTATCTTACAGGTAGTTTGGGTTCTACCACTCGAGATAGCTATGTGATCCTGGGCAAATGTCTTAAATGCTCTGAGCTTCAGTTTTCTCATCTGCAAAATGGAGGTAACACCTGCATAGCAGGGCCTAGAGAATTAAATGAGAAAATGCAAGTGAAGTGCTTAGTTAACAGGGCATAGGATGTGGTAAAAAAATTCGCCTGTTATTATTTTGTATTATTACAAATTTCATTGCAGTCTGTCTGCGTCTCTTCTGGGCATTCTGTCTGCTGAACGGATTTTTTAGGTCTCAGAGTTATGAGTCATTTGAAGGTCTAATGATTGATTGATTTAGGCACCATTATGTAATCTTTGTTAAATATAAAATATGGAAATGGAATGCAGAGCTACTGAAATAATGGAGAGAGTTAGGGAGGGCAGGAGGGAAGCACAGACCTTATGACTGTGTTCGTTTAGCCCATGTGGAGTAGAAAGAACCTGCAAGAAAGTGGTGCCAAGACTCCGGATCACGGCAGAACTGGGGGCCTAAGGCTCATCAAGCAATGCCCATCACACCCCTGTGCCCAATCCACAGAGCTCACTCCAAGCACAGAATGCCGCCCCCTTTTCCAATTAAAATAAATTCCTCAAGCTACTTCCAAAGGTCCTCTTACTTCATATTTCATCATACCCCAAGGAACATGGAAGCCACAGGGTAGATAGAATCACTGGCTGTGCAAATGCTTTTATTATAATGGGTCCCATTCTCTCTGAACCTTTAATTTCCCCAGTGGACTTCCATCACTTGCAGGCCACAGCTCTGGGCTTTATCTAATTTAAATGAAAGGGAAATGGTACTTGGCTCTGGCACTTATATGATGGGCAATTATTATCAGGCAGGCAGGACCACACTCAGCTCATGCTTGCCAGGGTCTCCAAAACACAAGAGGAAGAGGAAAGAGGGTGTACTGTCAAGGGACAAGAGGCTAAATAATTCAGAGCTGCTCCATTTGTTCTAAAAGGCAAGGTGCTCTTATGCATAGAACATAGGCCTTGAGATGTGGGATCTATGCATATTCCTATAACACTTACTGACAATCCAATTTTGGAGGAGAGACTGACAAAGGAGTATTGAGGGGTAAGTAGATCAGTCTTTTCAGAAAAGACTGGAATATATACCTAAAAAGCAGGCAGAAGTAAACTGGAAACTATGATGTGGACTAAGGAGTATTGCTTCTATCCTATAGGGAATGGAGGGAAGGATCCTGTTAGAGGGAGGTGGACCGAGTGCTGTGAGTACCTAGATGCCTTCATCACCTGTTTGCTGAGCATGAGGTGCTCACTGGGTCTCAGTGTCTGGCCAAAGGGTTTCAGCCCCAGACAAGTTCACTATGGGTTCAATATAACCAAAGAAATGACAGTAGAACATTCTTGGGGTGAAAGAACTCCCCTAACTTTATTTCCAACAGCGGCAGGTCAATTACTAGAATCTTATCCACTTAGAGTGAGTCTGCATGCAGCAAGCCGGTCCCTGCCTCTGGGCCTCTCTACCCCTGCAGCCATCTCAGTCTCTGTCCTCCATTCCAGCCTCTGCTCTGCTCTCTTGCAGCCTTGTAGCCACGCCACCATGTTCCCCAGAGCACTGGGAAGGGCTCTTTATATAGAGTTAATAATGACGTATTGCCCACACATGTGTAGTGAGCTAGGTGATCAGTGCCAGGTGAGAATCCTGGACACAGGAATCTTCACTGTATCCACACCCAGGCTTGAGGGAAAGATGTGGGGAACAAAGCTGAGAGAAGAAAGAGGATTCTAAAAAGGACAGAGCAAAGGGCAGTAGAGAAGCAGAGGCAGGAGCAGCCAGTCCCATAGAGCCACTTGGGGAGTTACAAAAACAGGTAGTGGTCAGATTAAGTGCTGTCAGATGCTGTGATGACAATACCCAAGTATCCTTCTTGATCAGCCACAAAAATGCTTTAGGGAATTTATCAAAGCAGTCTCTGTGCTGTGGTGGGGGCCAGATGGCAAATAGGAGAAAGTTGGGAGATAATAGGGAAGATGAATGTAGATACGGTAAGTGGAGATAACTATTTCATCAAGATGGCTGTAAGGGAAGAACTCCAGGGAGCTGATGAAGGAGCAGGTAGAGGGTGGGAGGTAGAGTCTCTTTTCTACACAGCAAAGGCTTATATAAGTTAATACGCTGAAACAACTCAGATGAGATTCACAGGCTACAGGTGCAGGAGGGAGGCGATGCCTACATGAGGTATGGATGTGAATGAAATGAACAGCACTCTTGCCCTCAGGGAGCTTGTGATCCATCACAGGGGCTGATGTGCACATATAATAAAGAAAAAACAGCACCCACATCAGAACAGGAGCATAGACAGAGCACTGTGAGCATTCAGATAATATGCAGTGTGCATGGAGCTATGGAGGAGGAAATCTGGGAGCTGTGACTCTGTGAGGACTCAGAATCGTTCTGCTCCAAGAAAGTCTGGGCCCTGGGAATCAGTCCAGTGTGCTCAATTTACAGGTCTGAAGGGAGTGGGTGACTTCACTGAGGATGCCTAACTGGTCAATGACAGAGTTGGGTTCAGAAATCTAAGCGCTGCACTCCTACTTTGGTGCTGAGTCCCCCAGTCACAATTCCTGTCTGCAAAATGCCCAACAGGAGACCTGGACATGGAACCACAAGTGGTGCCACTGACAGCACCTGCAGTATCCCGTCAGGTGAAAGTAATTTTCCTGCCTCCAAGCTCCACAAAAATTTGATCCATGCAGCTTATGACCAACATCATGCTAAGACTTGACTCTAGGTTTTCTGGCAGCTGCTGAGAGATTAGTGGTAACAGAGTGGCTACTGCCACTGTAGACTTGAACTTTGTTTTAGCCTTTCCCAGAGCTGGAGGGGAAAAGAGTCAGTTTCACAGAGCTCTGGACTGTGGGACCATGGAGAATTCTGAATGGGTGGTCACCCTACTTCAGGTATATTTGGAAGACAATTTAGACTGTATGTAAAGCACTGTGACCTTCTTGGAGAGAGGTGTTGACTCAGTACTATATTAAAAAATGGTTCATTATAACAAACAGTTCATTTGAGTTGACAAATTTCTGATCAGATACAGGCTGTAAATGTCAAGGAAGACCAAGAAAAAAGGTTTGGCAGAGTTGTTCTCATAATGTTGTTTCACTTTCTCAAAATCTCATGAGGCCAAAGACCTTTCTTTGGGAGATCTGCTGAATAGAGAAGTTATCACAAAGGAGTGAGCATTCTAACTAAAGTTTCAAATTGTAATAAGGGGATTTTTTTTCTTGAACAGAAAATGGTTGTGAAGACTTGGCCCAGGAGACTAGGACCTACTCGCTTACTCATTTCTGCTTTTACCAGACACTCTTAGATGCTGGGAATACAAGACTGGAAAGTAGTGGCAGAGACAGACACACTGCCACTTCCACAGCATGATGTGCACTGTGCCGACACACAGGAACTCAGAGATGCCCCACACATACCCCCGGGGCCAGGCTAGGGGGTCTGTGCCAGAGCAGTGTTGGTTCTGTCTTGAAGGAACTCTAATTATAAGCAGGACATGAGTGAAGGATGTTTCATAGACAAGAACAACATATTTGAAGGCAGAGAGTAAGAGAAAAGGGTCATACTGTGTCTTGCCAATGGGTTTCAGCCCCCAGCAAGTTTGCTATGGATTCAATGTGTCCAAAGAAAATGACAGCAAACATTCTTTGGGGTGAAAGGGTTTATTACCTGGCTTGTTCTCCCGGTGGTAGGTCAAGCACTAGTGACTCTGCCTCTGCCCAGGACACTGGGCCGAGCTCTCTATATAGTGCAATAACAGCTTTTGCCTAAAGGTGGGGAAGCAGTAGCTTAGCAACAGACCAGTTACATCACCAGGTGATTTAAGTTCAGTGAGGATTCTGGCCATAGGAAGCCTAACTTCCCCACACTCCACCCCTCCAGAATTCTCGCCTTACAATCTATACACTTTCAATCTTCTGCAATGGTCCCTGTGCGAGAACGCTGGAGTACTGCAACCAGATTCCACAACAGCAACAGAGGAAAACAACAACTTAGAGACAATAACAAGAATTTAGATACAACAAGATTTTGATACAAGTGACAAAAATTATAATAATCCTCAAGCCAGAGGAGGTTCCTAATAACAAAAATTATAATAATCCTCAAGCCAGAGGACATTCCCAATCCACAGAGACTGTAGGGACAATAAGATACACGTTTTAATGACACCAACATAGGCAAATCTTGTCCATCAGGTAGGATGCATTCAAGAAAGTGGTCCTGTGATAGGACTGTAGCAGGAAGGGGGTCCCTTCCAGGTCTAGTATACCATACTTTTACTCCTTTCCCCATGGGGATTACTGAAGGGCCTATATATAGTGCTACTAGAGGTGCATGCACTGGCCATAATGAAAAAACAAAATTCCCTGGGTAAGATGCTCCTACCTTCCTGCCATTCAGGGTATACTACTGTGACCTTTGGGGGCCACTCTGCTGTTATCCCAGGAATACAGAGGAGGCCAGCTTCCAGGTTTTGTCTCCAAGGTGCCAGGAGAGCCAGCCATTATTGGTCCATGTGTCGAAAGGTCCAAGGCCACGTCCACTCAATGGAGTCTCCGGGGTTCAGTGCAGTTGGTGTTGGCAGCAAGATGTTATTCTGGTGGTCAAACCTCGGCTTCAGTGATTCTTCCTTGGTTTTTACTTGCA